CACTCTCTTTATTGTCTTCTCCAAGGCCACTCTCTTTATTGTCTTCTCAAGGCCAAACTCTTTATTGTCTTCTCCAAGGCCACTCTCTTATTGTATTCTCCAAGGCCACACTCTTTATTTTCTTCTCCAAGGCCACTCTCTTTATTGTCTTGTCCAAGGCCAAACTCTTTATTGTCTTCTCCAAGGCCAAACTCTTTATTGTCTTCTCCAAGGCCAAACTCTTTATTGTCTTCTCCAAGGCCACTCTCTTTATTGTCTTGTCCAAGGCCACACTCTTCATTGTCTTCTCAAAGGCCACACTCTTTATTGTCTTCTCCAAGGCCACTCTCTTTGTTGTCTACTCAAAGGGCACTTTGATATAATTCTTGAAGAAATTCTGATATTTGGAGTGTTATTCTGTTTTAAACAGTCATACAGCAACCAGGGATGCTAAGTGATACTATCTTACAACATAAACTGAGCTTCAAGCAGATTGTTTATACATACTAAATATAGAAATATCTGATTGTAATTGAAACTGCATTTAGATCCGCAGATTGACTACTGCATTATTGAAATATAATATTTCATGATATAACAGTAGATTAAGGATTGTGCAGCATTAATAATTCAACATTTATAGATGACACCCAAGCATATTTGTGAAATGTTGCATATTACGAATTCCCTAAAGTTGGTAAATCTCTTGGTATCATTGTTCGTTCATGTCATTGTTAAAAGCTGAACTGGATTATATTGTATGAACTATCACTTTATTGTATGAATTATTTGTCATGGTAACACACTGTTATTGAATTTCAAAGAAATTTGTTTGTTTGATTCATAGCTATAATAATGCGTAGAATGAAATATGGCATGATTTTGAAAGCTAAATTTTACATGATGTTTACTATTATAAAGTTGTTATACCCTCGAAACGAAGTTATGGGGGGGGGGGTATTAGGAGTCACTCAGTGGTCGGTCCAGCCGTCGGTTGCATTTTCCTTATCCGGAGCATAACCTGAAGACTAATGGTTGGAATTCAATACAACTTCATACAATGGTCAAGCACATTGAGAGGAAGTGCAGTGCACAAGAACCATAACTCCGTCTTCACTAATTAAGTTATTGTTCTTTGTTACTTTTCCTTGTCCGGAGCATAACTTGAAAACTACTGGTTGGAATTCAATATAACTTCATAAAATGGTCAAGCACATTAAGAAGAAGTGCAGTGCTTAAGAACCATAACTCCATCTTGACTAATTACAGAGTTGCCCGAGATCAATTGACACTGATGCTTTAACTTGCGATAAGTACATGTAATTGTTATAATAAGAAATTTGAAATGTCGAAACACCACTGCCAAAATATTCTGAGAGGTAAAGTGATCAAACGCTGTAACATATTTCAAAGTAAACTACCAAAGAATGTAAAACAAATTTTCACTAATGACAACTACTTATGAGAAGTCAGTCAATTTTGAAGAGATTTTAAGTTTTATGAAAGTGAAAAAAAAGACGAATTAAGCCTAGAGAAATGAGCTGGAAGCACCTGTTGTAAATATTTAAACCAATCACCTGTAATGATTTATTTTCATGTCTGAAAGTGTTTTTTGTAGACAATGATAAACAGTAGGAAATCTGCATTACGAACTGTAAACAAATGTTGGGAACATAAAAAAACACAGTCACATAGTTTTACACATGTGCAAGAAATTGTTCGATGCAAGTTAATAAGTGACAGAATAGTTTATTTTGTTAAGTGAAACAACTGTTTTGTGAAAATGTGTTAAATAATTTAGTGAATTAAGTGTTTTGGTAAAATAGGTTGTTAGTTATATGAATTCTGTTAATTGATGTGATATAGTTACTATACTTGATCTCACATTTTGGTTTATACTGAATTTATTTTATTTCAACAGTAAGCTTAAAGCTGTATGATTGACACACTCTGGAATCCATTCCTAGAACCAACCAGTACTGAGCAACAAGTGTAAAGTTTCTAGCTTAAGGAAAGAATGGCTTGTCCCTGAAAGGTTTTAAACCCATGCAGATAAGCAAGTTTGACATGTTAACCACTCAGCCATGCTGCCACTTTCTCAAATCTGAAAGTAAACCATCTAAAACAAGCATTTCAGTTCGGTTTTTATCCAGAAAAGAAAGTCAACTTCTATGGAATTTTAATCAGTCATCTTTACATTAATGCCCTGAGGCAACTCTGGTACTGCCGGCATGGCATATGAAAACATTTATCATGATTTGTGTTGGTCTGTAAGAGACACAAGACATTAATTTACTAGGAAATACAAGTTGTTAAACTGACAACCATCACATTAATGTTGAGTGAGCATTTGACAAATCATGAACAGTCCCAAGTTTTTCACACCTGATACAGGAGCAACAGATGAATGAGAACATTAAAACAATATTTAAAATACTAAGGGAATTATAGCTTTAATTTAAAATGATTAAAACACTCATATGGCATTTTGTATGAGAGTTCTTAAAACATTGACCAGACAAAATATCTTCATTAGACTTGTCTGTATTTCAGTTTGGACTAAATCATTTTCATCATTTTTAGGGAAAATTTCAAAATATGTATGCTAACTGAGTAGTCAACAGCAGAGACCATGGCATGCATTATACCAGACAGCATATATGTGCCAGCTGATCTTGGTCTGCACTGGTAGCAATATGGGTAGAATACCAACAGGCTTACATTAGTGTATATTAGTGTATGATAAACTATCAAATAGATAGGGGAATAAATATACAAAATAGAATAACCATAAGGCAATATATCAATAATGTCGAAACGAAATGAAAGGGAATTCAAATACACAGGTACATATCATTAAAGTGTTGATTAGAGGTATACAAATAAATAAATGTTTGACTTGTTTTCTTGCGTTTTTTTTAAACAAATAAACACTTCCTTTGTATAATAATTCCCTGATGTTGTTTTTCAGTTTCAGTAAGAAATCTGTCGACAGTTTTTGAGTTGATAAAACTTTGGAAAAACTGTCGAAAGATTTCGAGTTGATAAACCCTGGTTTATGAAGGATTTGTTTTGAGTTGATAAAACTTGGTTATGAGGGATATTGGAAAGCTGGTATATATAGATTAAAGCTAATCAAATCTTGGCAGTGATTTTCATAGGTGAAAAAAATCAAAGAACTTGTTTATTTGTGTAGGATAGGTTTTTTGTCAAATATTTCAAGGTGTTAAATGAATTATGTTGCCATAATTACTTATGATGGCATTCAGATGTGAGATGAATGTTTGTGGCTGATATTTTGGGTGTTACCTCACAATTTAAACATGAATCGATTATTGGATTCTAAAAATACAAGTGGCGAAAATAGTGAAAACTTTATGCCAGCAGTAACTTATAATAATAGAGCCCGGCAAGCATGCTTTAAATAAAAGTTGAAACTTTTAATTTGGGTGTCCGTCCAAAAGATTGAGCCAAAAATATTGCTGCAAGAAAGACAGTCACTAAAACACACATCTATGAAAAAATAATGAAATGCCTTTAAGATAGTAAATGCCTAACCTGTTGACGACTCAACTGATTCAGATACCCATGTGACCTGAGTGCGAACCAAGATCAGGCGTACCCCTGATAATGGACTGCACAGTCTTCACTGTTTGCTTTTCAGTTGTTACTTTGAATTTTTCCCTAAAATTGGTAAAATTTATTCTATCCCAATTGAATGACTGACAAGTTCATTTAACTCATTCAGAGTGTGGTAAGGGTGAAATTAGGTTGAATGGACAATGTAGAAAGAAATTTGACAAGTAACTTTTTAGCAAAAAAAATATTAAAATTTCAAATTTTACAATCTCTAAAACTTAAAAGAAAAAGAGAATCAGTGTAAAGTTATATGACATTTTACTAAGTTATGATTCAATAAAATTTAGACCAGATTGTGTCTGAGTTTTTTGGTGTTTTTTACATAGATTATAAACTCTGATCATCAGTCAGTAATATCACCTAAATAAATAAATATCTATGAGGTAAAAACCATATTGCAAAAATTATAACTTTTATTTTTTTACGATAAAAAATTTACCACCTGCTAATACTTCTTTGGTGTTTTTATATTTAGTTATACCTGTTAAAAGCATTATTGAGTTTCCATCATGTTGGCTTTGTAAATATTTTTATAACTGATTTCTTACTGCTTTCGGTTGAGGGGGGGGGGGGGGTTGGAGATATGTATATATTATTTTGATATCAATGGTTCTATATGAGAGATGATGATTTTTTCAGATGTAAAATAATGATTTGAACATCTCCTCTGTTTGTTCAACATTTTATTTTTGTGGTACTAATGACATTAGAAGTGTTTGTACTCGATAATTACACTCTCGTTGAAGTAGAGGGTTACTCCTCCAGGCATGCCATTTTTATCTTATTTCCTTCAATGAACTCCGATAGTTTATTCCATTTGTAAATTTTTCACAATAAATATTTCAACGAAATCAAAATCAAAAAGGAATGGCTTTTATAAATCAGGTGCAGTTATTAATAAGGCATTAGTTTCATATTAATGATTCATCGTTTTATCATGATATAATTCATTGTCTGATTTATATTGATGTATAAACCCTTAAACCTGCTAAATTTGTGTTAATGAATTTCCCATGCTTTGAATTTGAAACAGTCCATTGGAAATTTAAGGTACCGATCATTTCCACTTATAAGACGTATTTTTGAGACTTAAATGTCAAATATAGAGTGGGTAGTGTGTCTTATACAGGTATAAATCAAGTACTACAGAAATATTTCAATTTCAATATAATAAAAAAGAGAAACTCAGTTCTTATAATAGAGCCTTGTCAAGTCAGCACAGATGTGTATATATATATTACTGGTGGAGGAATACCTCAGGTGCCCCTCTATGCACTATTTAAGGCTGGCTGGAACAGGTTATTATTCAAACCCAACCTTAGTAAAAGGGCTATTATGGTTATATGTTTATTAATCAATCTTGTGTCTATTTATCATTTCAGGTCGTAAATTCCAAAGAAATCCTACATAGTCAGAATGTCTCCGGACAAACAGATGAAAGCCTTATCAAGTCAAGTACCTCAGTGACAATGACTAGACTGCAAGCTTCTGGGCATACTCCATGGATCGTGTACAGTTTGGTAGTGATTGCTGTGTGCTGCACACTGGGTATGGTTGTGATATATGGGGCAGCAGGATTCAAACATAGCAGAAATGATTTACCAGTCCTCAAGTTGACCTTTCCTGGCGATAAACATATAAGTAAGTATGATGTAATGATAAAATTCAAAAAATGCAGTGCATGTATTATGCCAGCATGAAAAACACAATTTGAATGTGTAAGAAATAATTATCATGACTGGTGTTTTTTAGAAACAATTATTTGTGATTGCAAGAAAACACTGACTCTAATTTGAGCTTGTACAAAAACAACAGCATATCTTGTGCTTTCAAGAAAACATGATTTGTGCTTGCATTGTGAAAAGGAAATTTTAGCTTTGCAAGAAAACATAATATTTGTTCTTGACGGAAAATATGATTTATATGTCTTAGGAAAGATAATTTATACTTGTTAGAAAACATAATTATTTTGTTCTTGTAGGACATGTAAGAAATTTTTTTTTTGGTAAGAAAACATAATATTTATGCATGTATATTATAATTCTTCTCAATATATTTGTGAAATATGTAAAACACTTAAAAACGGGTCTCAAAATATTTGTTTGTTTTGTGAGGTCATTGCACATCGTCTCTGAATCTTAATCTTACATTTTGTAATGTATTCAATTACATCTCATCAAACAAACATTTATCTATGAACTTATATCCAACTTGGCCAGTAAATTCCTGGACTTTCTTGAATCAGGGAAGATCTAGCATATATAAAATATAATTTTCTTCAGCGATATGACACCTGGTGTCAGTAAGTGTCAAAGAACATTTTCTTGACATCTGTTTCTTGATGCTTTAATTTGTTAATAATTTGCGACCAAATTGGATAGTTGTATGTTACGTCTGCTATTGTCAGATGCCGTCTGCTTTGGAGAAATGAGGCAAGGGATTATGGGATAGTGACTGAATGATGTTGAATGTCTACTAAACTATATTAAAGATGTCGCATGGATCGTATTTACTCTATTTATTGATGATTTGGTTTCCGCTCATCCTGTTACAGGACATAAAGTATGACATTAAGATGTCTGTTAGGTGTAAATCTCCCTTCCATGAAGTGTAATGTCTCTCAAATAACATCCTGTTCTCGAAATTTAAAAGCCGAGGGTCGCATTTGTCATGTTCCTTAAAGAAAAAAAAAATTAATGAATGTAATGTTGAGACTATTTTTCGAGTAATTTCTTCACTTCTTCTCCCCAGACACCAGGTCTGTCATGGTATTGTCTGATTGAATACTTCAGAGATATTTGAGAGATTTTAATGCTTTAAGTTAACAGCACAGTTTTGTAAATATTTCATTCCTTCAGCATTGAAATAAATCCTAGTTTTATTCCAGGCAGTTTGTCACTATTATTAATGGGGTACTTTCATTTAATAGCTGGCAAAGTTCATTGTTTTGTGAAGTAAATAATTCTTGAATGATTTGAAAATTGCATTTGATTCTGTTACTTGATCCTAATGCTAGTTGTAGATTTTGTTCAATATATAATTTTCTTAAATTACCTGTCAGGAATTGTTGAGCCCATTTACTGAGAAAATTTTCCCTCTGTATAAAAAATAAAAATAATTCGATAATATTGAAATTAAATGATGTTGAATTCGTATCCCTTGGCTTGTGTTCCAAACCAAACAGGACATGATGATGAATGAAGTGGAAAACATACTTTACTGTTTAAAAAACACAATAAGACTGATTAAGAACAAATTTGTTCCCTACGTAATATTAATAAGCAATCTGAAGGGGGCGTATTATTTTGTTAATAAATCATTATTGTTCTGTAATTTGTGAAATACTTGAAGAAACTCGAATATATTCTTACATATGTAAGATATTTATATCTACTTCAAGATGGTTGCAGTAAATCAAAGATAAACATTTTATGATGTCATTAGAATCTGATGATATAACCCACGTGGGTAAAGATGTAAGATGGGTGGTAATTGTTATAATAAAGAATTCTGCTGAGAAAATAGTATCAAATACCAATGCGAATTATTTTGATCAGATATTTACACTTAACTTTTAAATGATGATATGTAAGTGCATTCATTTTATATTGCATTTTAGTTTATTAATTTGACAATTTATTTGGGTATATTTTCTTCTAAGAGGTTTTCAAGTTTAAATCTTTATAAAGGCAGGCAGTACAGGATCTTATTCTTTGTGAAATCTCCTTATCCCGGTAACTGCAGTTTTAAGGAACTCAAATCATAAGTAATTAAGAGCCGCAATTTTCATAGAACAAATACAGGTTAACTAACTAAAAAAATGACAAGAATAAATGTGTATAATAATACTGGTTTACCAGCGATTGATTTGATAGAACAAATTTTTGTTAATTTTCTGGGGAAAAAAAAACAATTTAATTTTCATACTAATTCTAAGAATAATACTCTTGGTCAGCCTGCAGTTACATTCATAGATCTAATTCTGGTTAATGTTTTTAAAAAGAGCAATTTCTTTAATAAAATCGATAATTCTTAGCTAAAATATAATTGATGTAGATACTCTGGTACTCTCTTGCCCACCTCAATAAATAGTAAAATAGTTTGGTCTTTGAATGAACACATTTTAGTCAATTGTATGCAACAATGTAACATAAAACAGAATCTGTTCTTTTCTTGAACTCAGTGGCATAAATTGAAGTATGTGCACCACCCTTGGAGTATGTTTGTATAATTTATCTAATGGTTTCCAAGCCATTGTTTATTCTAGACTTTATTAGCACTTGCCTCACCATTTCCTTGTATTGTTTATTCAATTCGTTATAGCTCTAAGTCTGTACTTTCATAATTGGCACATTAAATGAGAATGATTTTATCTTTTGGATGGAAAGAAAGGGAAATAAAACTGTATAATTGACTCAATAATTACACATTGTATTGTGAATAAAGCAAGCATTGTTAAAGAAGGGGGAATGTACTTATAAATACCTGCAGTCACTGCTAGAATTGTAGGTAAGCTTTTCATGAATAACTTGTTTTGTCCTGTTGTGCTGTTCAAGCGGTTCATCGCTTTAAGGTCTTTGCATGCAGTTGAAGAAATTTTAAGTCTTCATTGGTGAACAAGTTAGCTGGATTTCTATGGTGATGTTAATGAAGCAGATTGCATTGGATTTTTATGCCACCGCAGCATATAGCGATTCACCTGTGTGTGTGTGTGTGTTTGTTTGTTTGTTTGTGTGTGTGTGTGTTATATAGATTATATAGTGAACTTAAAAAATCTTCTTGTGAAAAACCACTAGTCCAATTTCAACCAAACTTGGCAGGATTGATCCTTGGGTGAAGGGCTTCCAAAGTTGTTCAAAGAATTTAATTCCATGCAGAAATCTGGTTGCCATGGCAACCAAAAGGAATTATAAGAATAAATTTAAAAAATCTTCTTGTAAAGACCCAAAAGGCCTAGAGCTTAGATATTTTGCATAAGGCATTGTCTGGTAGACTTCTACCAAGATTGTTCAAATTATAGCCCTGGGGTCAAAATCAGCCCCGCCCCGGGGGTCATTGATTTTCACTATATGTACATATAGTAAAAACTTAAAATACCTTTTTAGCTCACCTGAGCTTGCTCAGGGTGAGCTTTTAGGATCGGTGAATGTCCGTCGTCCGTCCGGCCGTCCACAATTGCTTGTGAACACTCTAGCGGTCGCATTTTTGCCTCAATCATCATCAAACTTGGTCAGGATGCTTATCTAGTTGAAAGCTCGGATGAGTTCGAACATGGGTCATCTCGGATGAAAAACTAGGTCACAAGAGCTAAAAATAGAAAAACCTTGTGAACACTCTAGAGGTCACATTTTTGACCCAATCATCATCAAACTTGGTCAGGATGTTTGTCTAGGTGATAGCTCGGATGAGTTCGAACATGGGTCATCTCGGATGAAAAAGTAGGTCACAGGAGCTATAAATAGAAAAACCTTGTGAACACTCTAGTGGTCACATTTTTGAACCAATCATCATCAAACTTGGTCAGAATGCTTGTCTAGTCAATTGCTTGGATGAGTTCGAACATGGGTCATCTCTGATGAAAAACTAGGTCACAGGAGCTAAAAATAGAAAAACCTTGTGAACACTCTAGTGGTCACATTTTTGACCCAATCATCATCAAACTTTGTCAGGATGCTTGTTTAGATAATAGCTCAGATGAGTTCGAATATGGGTCATCTCGGATGAAAAACTAGGTCACCGGAGCTATAAATAGAAAAACCTTGTTAACACTTTAGCGGTCACATTTTTGCATCAATCATCATCAAACTTGATCAAGATGCTTGTCTAGGTGATAGCTCGGATGAGTTCGAACATGGGTCATCTCGGATGAAAAACTAGGTCACAGGAGCTAAAAATAGAAAAACCTTGTTAACACTCTAGTGGTCACAATTTTGACTCAATTGTCATCAAACTTGGTCAGGAAACTTGAATAGGTCATTGCTTGGAATAAATCTAACATGGGACATCTCGGATGAAAAACTAGGTCACATGAGCTAAAAATAGAAAAATCTTGTTAACACTCTAGTGGCTACTGTTGTGATCCAAATATTCTGTTAATTGGTCTGAAAGTTTTTTTTGATGATTTCTAAGTCAAGATCAAACATGGGTCATCTTGGATGAAAAACTAGGTCACACCGCCCAAATATGGAAAAACCTTGTTAACATTCTAGTGGTCACATTTTCGACTCGATTATCATCAAACTTGGTCAGGATGCTTGTCTAGGTAATTTCTTGGATTAGTTCGAAATCGCATGTGAAACTAGGTCACCGGAGCTAAAAATAGAAAAATCTTGTTAACACTCTAGTTGCTACTGTTTTGATCCAAGTATCCTGGAAATTGGTCTGAAAGTTTGTTTTGATGATTTCTAGGTCAAGTTTGAATATGTGTCACCTGGGTAAAAAACTAGGTCGCACTGCTCAAATATGGATAATCCTTGTTAACACTGTAGTGGTCACATTTTTGACTCACCTGTCATGAGACTTGGTCAGAATGCTTGTCTAGGTAATTGTTTGGATGAGTTTGATAATTCAGGTGAGCGATCTATGGCCATCATGGCCCTCTTGTTGTAAAGACCCAAAGGCCTAGAGCTTAGATATTTTGC